ACTTGATACTAGATTTTCACTTTTGGCATAACCAAGCACTCCCAGGTTTCTGGACTTATAATATGAGATGCTACCTCATGCTGACCTTAGCATATCTGTCATGTCTTCTTTTTATATCTTATCATGAATATCTAAATATGTTATTGTAAAAATTCTATTTGTTCTCTTTTTTGCTTTCAGAGAAGTAGTCTTGTTGCTGAGCAGTGAAGACAAGCTGTATGTACTGCTCATTGATGTAGCATTTGATGGATCAGGTTAGTTGTCAAGTCTGTAGGAGACACCTATGCTTCTGAATGTTGATTACATAGAAATTTTCTTATCTTAATTGCTGAATTTTGGAAGTTCACTGAAATGATATATCGCAGGAAGCATTTTAAGTTTGCTGGGTTGGTATAGGGTTGAAGATGTTAGGGAAGTTTTAGTTGGTATAGGACTTCAGGTTGTGAGGTTAGTGTTTTCTTTGGTACTGTCAGTAATTAGAAGACTGATCTTTTATAAATCTTGAAAAATGTATTTCACTCCTGTTGGTTAGGGTATACATTGAGAGGGGAGCAACCTACCTGTTTCTAACACGGAGCATTGAGAAGTCAAGGCAGTTACTCCATATCTTGCAAGTTTCCGGGGCATGTTCAACAAATAATAAATGTGTGTTAAGAAGGTGATCTATCTTTTGCCCCTTTCATACATGGATGGGAAATTTAATGCCCGTGTTTTGGCTTACGCCCATCTAAAATGTTTTTTTTTTTTAATGAAAAAATAAAAAATTTAATAAGTGCTCTCTATCTGTATGTATGTACTTATCTTCTTTGTTGTAAGACTCGGGTGTTGGGAATTTATATGGCAGTTTGGAGCAGGTTCAGGTCAAGTTGTTTGAGCAACAAATATGTAGAGGTTCAAAACTGAGCATATTCCAATATTCTATGGTGCATCTTTGGCACAGGCAGGATGAAGGTATGCATCTCATTGGATTAATTTGATGAAGTCTTATTGCATAAAACGGGTAAATGGTCCCTCAGATTGTTGTGATGTACAGTTGGATAAAATGAGGCATAATAGGTAACTGACTTTGGAAGTTTATTCTTGTAGCATGTCACTTCATCAAAAGCATGATTTATCAAGTCCACTGCTTTTATTCTAGTTTTTCTGGCACAAAGACCTCAGCTATGCTTGTTTCATGCAAAATATTCCTGAGGGCTTCTTGTTTAGTTTGTTGATTTAGGTATTATTAGTATTGGTTTTATCTGAAGAATTAAATGTGAATCTGTAGGATGATCAGAGTTGTTATGACCACTGAGAAGCCAAAATGTTGTTATGAGGTGCACATAGCTATGTTCTTAGACACATAGTTGATCCCATGCACGATAAAATTTAATTGCAAATGTAGCTTTATGATTAACACTGTAATCAAAATGCTTGGAATCTCTCTTAATTTGATTGGAATACAAATTCAAATCATAATACTTTCCTAATTTGATTGAATAATGTTAAACTTTTCAAACAGTGGATCAAACTATTCTTAATTGTTGTGGCATGCGTTCAAGCAGATACTCTATGATGTGAAAATAACGTGTGGATTTATATTTCAAGCAGATACTCTATGATGTGAAAATAACGTGTGGTTTTATATGTGCCTTTATTTTTGAAATTCTTATTTTCCTTCTTACGTAACCCAACCATTGGCTATTTATACATGATGATTTATGTACAGAGGATTCATGGCTTCCCAGATCACTTTTTGTAAGTGGTGGGCATGTGTTTTTGTGTGTTGAAGATTTTAAGCAGTTCAACAGTCCTTCCATAGATGCATCTTCACCTCCATATTTCTTGCTTGATTCATGTTGCTCCATCAGTGATGTATCGGAGCTGGTATGTTTCTGTTTGCTTAAGCTTTTATTAGTTCTTTAGTTCATAAAATTGCTTGCTTGTTAGGGCGGCCTGTTGATTTTTCATCCAAAACATTCAATGGTCATTTTTTGCTTGATAATTTGCTTGCATCCACCCTTTACTGTGTTGATGAGATAATTATGACTAGCGAAATTAGTCACATACAGTCTATTTTTCTTTTCCCTTCTTTTCTTGCTTTCTGTAGTGCGTCTAAGAAACTGCATTTGGCACTGCATTTTAAAAGTATTTTTGAAAAAAATTGAAATATTTTTTTTTTACTTTAAATTAATATGTTTTTAATGTTTTCACATTATTTCGATATGCTGATTTCAAAAATAATTTTTAAACTCGATATGCTGATCTCAAAAATAAATTTTAAAAAATAAAAAAACATTATTGATATACTTTTCTGAGTGAAAATCACTTTGAAAAGCAACCGTAACCTCACTTCTAAACACGTCGGAACCATTGTTTTGTGCTAGACCGGTTCTATAACCACACTTCTAAATACGCCTGAACCATTGTTTTGTGCTAGACCGGTTCTATTGATTGTGTGTGATTGTGTGAAAGGTTATATCTGTTAAGATCATAATTCCATTTTCAGGTCATCGAAGCCAAGGAGAGTTGGTTTGTGACCTTAGCCCTTCAAAATGCCACAAAGAGTTTCTGCCTCTCATCCATATCTCAAAAGGATGTCAAAACAACTAGCAATGATAACGCAGCTTCAGTTTCTTTGACATGGAAGCTTAAGTGGTTCTCAAAACAGAGCCTATTAAATTTTGTGGCTTTGTTAAAGGCAATTCATGCAGCAGGGGCAGCCACAGCACCTTTGCTGGTGAGGCATACTTCATGAGCCCTGCCTGCATATTCATGTTTTTGTTTGTCATATTCATTCCATTCTTTTTGATTTAGGGTTTTCATTTTCCTTGTCGGGTATATGCATTTAGTTTGGTTGTATCCTGGACGTGGTGAGTCCATATCCTTCTTATTCTTTCATTTGTATTCTTTATGGTTGATCCTTTTTCTCCTGTACAGTGTACAGCATAGAACATCAAGGTAAACTGTCATTAGTTCAGTTTTGATTGTCCATGGATTGCCTTTCTTTGTATTTTTTTTTCCTTATAATCCTGTAGGTGTCTATTGTGCCACCATTTAAGAATGTGCAGCTGTTAGATCGATGCATTAGACAGTGTACTCTTGTATGATTGAAGGAAATCGTGAACACAAAGCCTGTGGTTCTTTTGAAAATCTATTCTTTTTCTGAAATCACAGAGATACTACTCAAAATGCAAGTACAACTCTCTCTCTCTCTCTGAATAGATAGATAAATATGGGATGCCCTTTGATTTTTCATTTACGAGAGTGCATGTTTACTATGAATAAAGATTAAAATGGAAGAATTAAGGGATAGATATATGCATCAAGAATTTTAATTTTATAACATGGGCATTGTATCTATTTGTGTTTAATAATTTTATTTTTTAGAATTAATGTTTTATTGAATAAATGATAATAATAAAAAAAACATTTAATAAAGTGATTGAATAAAATTGAAAAGAAAAATATAAGTAGAACTATAAAGAAAGAATGGCTCCTCATATAATAAAACAGGATATCGAAATCTTATCATCAGTAAACTTTAAATTGTATTTCATTAAACATAAAAATGTGTTAAAATTGAAGGTGGGAAAAAGACAATAAAATAAAAAAAAACGAAAAAATATACTATGAAACTAGGGAAAAAAAAAAAAACAAATACTTATGTATGTGGCCAGGCCTGGATGGTGGGCTTAAAATGTCTAGGCATGTGGGCTTTTTTATCTAGACTCATGTGTCTAAATTTATTTAATTTATATAAGTTTTAAAAAGACGAATAACTTATAATGTCTTCAATTTTTTTTTAAAAAAAATAAATAGATGATATATCGCTTGCTTCTCTTCGGATTTTGACTGCTGTGTGCTAGTGAAAAATTGGGGATGATGAATTTTTTACCTAGAAAATTTAATTTTTTAACTAATTTTTTTATTCAAAACACCTATAAAATACTTTGTAAATCTATTAATAACGTTAAAGAACCTAAAACCAGTTCATACATCCAAAATTAACCTGACAGAAAAGAACTTCCCGAAGTAGATTGTTGGGGGATATCGGGGATAAAAAGGAGCTTTGAAACAGGATGCAAGAGGGAGCGTTCAAATAAAAGATGCGGCTTTTATTTTAAAGAAAGAAAATGTGGGAAAAGCCTACGTGGAAATGGGCTCAGGTTCTGGTGGACCCCACAAGGAGGATCAAATTTAAAAATCCTTCGATAGAATGCCATGGACATCAACATGTACTCAGCCCGATGTTCATTATCCATTTTTCATGCTTTTGTTTTAACTGCACTAATTATTATGGTTGTCGCTTGCATATGGTTCAGATCACAGTTTTGACAAATTAAAATTTAATATCTAGTTTTTTTTTCTAATGCATTTGTTTTTTCTTAATTTAAAAACAAAAACAATTTGATTTTTTATTATAAAAAAATAGAATTTCATCGCTTTTTTTTTAAAATATCATTTAGCTTAAAAAATATGCTTAATTGGAATCATGTTCATTACCCAAGTTCTAGATTTTATTAATTAATTCAGGTTAATTAAAATTGATATAATATAATATATTTTTTAGATTTCATCTCAAATTTTTTTTATGACTTTTTAATTTAATTTAGTTTTATATTTAGATCAATTAAGACGCTCCAGGAAAAAAATAAAAGAAAAAAAAATTTGTTCAACTAAATTAACTCTTTTCAGTCATGTTTATTACCCTATCGTTAAATTTTATATGTTATCTCAGGTTATACCAGATTTTTTGTGTTAAAATATCAAAAGAGTGAAGCCCTAACAAATTTGTCAAAACAAAAATGAAAAAAACCTTCAATGAAAACTGATGGGTAGGAAATAAATAAATGAACCAAATATTTGTTTTTTACTTTATTATAAAAGAAAAAAATCATTATTACTTAACAATAATTCAACATTTTATTGATTTTTTCATCAACTCCATTTTTCTGATGAATCATTAACTTCAAATTGTATGCATTCAAGAAATCTTCATTTGCAAAGGCTATCCAATATTAACTATGCAATTTCTGCTTTCCCTTTATTATGTATTCAAATCACTTTTGAGATGGAATCACCAAAGTTTTCCAATATAGAAATAAGATACAGGAAATGACTGATCTAATAAGATTTCTCATGCCAATAGCTTGGATTCCTTCACCACCCAATGTTGCACCATATCAGCTGTTAAACCAGAATGGATGTTATTCATGCACATTTAGTTAAAATAAAAGGGAAAAACAATCAGAATGCAGTTTGCAACAAAATTTTTGAACATTTTCTTCTCTGATCGGCAGTTCCAAAATCCACAATCCCTTGGTTGTATTCTTGTAAAGAAGCAATGAGAAAATATGATCAATCCAAGTAAAATCTCTCACAGTAAAGACTAGCTATCTCCGGCTCTTTTTGGGCCTTAGTCTCTTAAAGGCCATGAATGTTACAGCAGCAGATAGAGAATACCTGCACACACAAAAAAGGAGTAAAAAAGGGGGGAGAGAGAGAGAGTGAGTTACTTCCAAAATCTGTTGATGCACTGAAAATTGCTCCATGAGAGACTAAAAAGTTCATGCTACACTAATAGGCATGGTCACTTATAATCTCCCCTCCTGCAGTCTCTTCCACGTTGAAGAAAATTAGGTTTAATAACAGTATTTGGTATGCTCACCTAGATACTCTGACAAGCTAAATTTCTTTTATGACAATAGCATGTTTCCTATGAAGCAACTTAAGCGCATATTAGACTTCAAAAGTTTAAAAGCACACTACGCACACTACACACACTACAGAGTCACAGACCAACAACATCAACTTTTTTAAAAAGGATCTAATTAGGGAAATATTAGGAAATTTCTGTGTTTTAATCCAACTTTTTTCTCTATTTAAGATGCTGGGAGGTGGAGGATCAGGACCTAGCACTGCCATGCCTCTTCAGCTGCCCCATCTAAACCTTGGGGCCTTCTAAGCAGAATAAATACTTCATATAAGGGAACAAATCTATACCCGATAATAACATAAAATATCAAAGCACATGCTGGCAGACAGACTTCAAGTACACAGAAATAGCTCCAGAGAGCGTACCAGGTCAGTGTATAATTGAGATGGTCCTGTGGCATGACTGAACTTCGAATCAAGGCATTAACATCCTTGGGTACAGGGTAAGGACAGCCTGAATTAAAGTTTTCATTAATGTCTTCCACATATTTGGTATTCTCAGGAAGCCCACAAGCACGGGCAATTGCAGGAACATCAACATAGAACCACTGGAAGGAGCTTGGATCATTTGCAGGAACAAAAATGCTGGGTTTTTCACTACCACGAACGACTCCAACAACTTCTACAGGAGCGATGGAAGGGATTTTTTCCTGTACATGCAATATGTTAAGATTGTATCTTTGGTGGGTTTCAATACCCAAAGACAAACAGAAGTACAGGAGACACCTCAATAGTTTTTGGCCTTTTGGACCAAAATCTCCACCAAGAGCTTTTCTCACTCCCTTGGGCAGATGCCATTGCTATATCTGAGGGTTGTTCATCATCTTGTGAAACTTCCAAAGAATTGTCTTTCCAGCTACGGGGTACCCATCCTCTATTGACAAGAATCGGTGACTGCACACTGGAGGAAAATTACATCAGTTAGCTTAAAGAGAAACAGACATCCACTTATGAGTTCATAAATGTAGAAAAAAAAAATAACATCCACTTATGAGTTCATAAATATAGAAACACAAATAACGTTGTGGAAATGCATAGTGCGATTATGCAAAAGTCATATCCATGAATACTGCACGGGAAAGAATACATTCCTGAAATGTGCTCTCTATCTCTCTCTATATATATACATGTTTTCAGAAGCCGACTCCAATATTCATGTTGTCAATAAATGCTTGATGTCAAATAACCACAGGAATAGTGTACAATCTAACCAAACATAACTTCAAGGTCAATTTGGCACTAAAAGTTGGGAAGACATCAGACAGTCAGTATATCCCTTGAAAAAGGTTTCTTGATTAGAGATAGTGATACATTCTTTGAAATGCAAAGGGAGATAAAAAAAAATTGAATATGGCTGTGCACCACCAATGGCAAAGAGAGTTTCACATATAAATAAACTATAGTATATTAAACTATTTACCATCATTCAACAATTTTTAACGCCAAGCTAAATCAGTGAAACTAGCCCTCAGAACTTTTAGTAATTTGCGCTCAAATATTATTCATTTCAAAAGGAATCAATTGCTTCAGAAATTTCTAGTCTTACCTTCTGCTGTGCTTAACAGTGTAATCACCACTGTACAAATCAATTTTTTTTTCTTTCCCATAGATGAGGTATCACTACTGTACCAATCATTGTGTATGATATTATTGTTATTCTATACTGTTAACATTGTCAAACCATATGAATCAAAGTTTTGTTATGATCAACGTTCAGAGTTCAGATTGCCATGTGAAACAACACTTTAAAGACAGTAACACTAGAACACGATACACAACTTCCCTTCAGAGTTCAGATTTCATTCTTCAAGGATAAGATAATATAGTAATTACTTTCTACAACAAATTACCACAATCAGTTGCTTTAATACCCCAAATGAAATTAAAACATGACTCTGTTCAAGGTGTTACTTAAAAGAAAAAAGCCAATCAGGAAATCAGGTAAATAGTTGATTGCATTTCTGGTGCTAACAATAAAACTAACAATGCAGGAGATTAAGAAAAAATAATTTCACTGCATTGAGTCAAAAACAGAGAGAACATCATTAACTTCCAAGAGAAGGTAATAAGGTAGAGAGTCAAGCAATCAAGCAAATGTAATATTACACGAAGAAAGAGAGAGAATATTGGCTTGATAAATGAAAGCCAACGATTTCAAATGCACAGATCTTTCACCATCAGTTCATATTCTACTTAACTTTCGAAAGCATCCATATTGGTTAATACCCATAACAACCTTGGTGATCCCAGAAACTTGAGAGCCTAGACGTCAATACTTGTAATGTCTATGGTTGATATTTCAAGAAAAACTCAAGAGAATAAATTAGGACATTTGAATGAGTTGTAGTATACCTTACAAGTTACATCTTGGTGAACATATACAGATAAAAAGCAGGTGCAAATTTGGCAATCTAGTTGGCCTCACATAGAGACATGGCAAGCTGCCAGTATTTCTGTCAATAATAAAGGTACAGCCATAAAATTATGCTTACCACTCAGGGTTTTTGGAGACTGGCATAAGTGGTGTAATGATATAGTAGCCATTTTCAGTGATTCCAGAAATATTTCTAGAACGTGGCCCCACATAGATTGACTTTTTATCACAAAAAACTCCTTTGCATGCCACTCTTCTGAACTCTAAATCATCCAGCTGTTCACTAGATGGAGATACATCATTGAACTTCATCGGTTCCATTGCCAATCTCCCCTGTCTATATTCCAGCATTTTGATCTATAGGGACAAAAAATGACAGACATATTAGTTAAGCAAGCAAGACTGTAAACAGCCTTTATGATTAAATTTAGTAAAGTGGCATTATCTATATGTGGAAAGGGATAGAACTTGTCCTCTCCACGGTTTGCTGTGTTACAAGCATAGGCTTAAAGTTACATATAACATTTACATCCAGTTTGTTCGTCAGAAAGTGTCCCCCTGGAAAATACTTTCCCAACTTCCTAATGTTTGGCTGCATTTTTGAAAACTGTTTAATGTAATTTACTTTCCAGTTAAAAAAACCTAAGCTTTGGAAGGAGGAAAGTGTTTTCAATGGAACACCTCCCATGAAGGACCGGAGAACTGATGTAGTACACTACTTCATTATCCTTGTATAAAAAAACATTAACATATTCATAAATATATATATATATATATATATCATAATAAGATACCATAGAAAAGAAGCCATTGTCAATGTACATCAAACATCGAATATGTTTGATAGTACCATCTAAAAAAGGGTAATAGCTCAAAATTCTTATTTTCTATGACATAAGCAAACACCAAAACAGGGTTTCCAACTCATTCCATGATACATCCAAAAATTGGAAAGTGATCCATTTTCTTGGAAATCATATTCCATTGAATTCACTTTCCGTCAAACAAGCAAGGTATTAAATGCATTTGCTTCCTAAAATAGCTTTCAGCCAACTTATATCAGAGAAAGAATAGAATTAATATTAAATATAAGAACTCTCCAGCTAATATCATGATAAAACAAAAAATGCAACGCTCAATGTTGTACCCAAGCTCACAAAATATTCACTAATCTATCTCTTTGCCATCAATTTCATAATCCCGTAGCTTCCATCCTAGTTTGTGAGCCTGCAACCATTATGCTGTATCACAGCCAATATCCTAAGCCTTTATGCAAGGAAGGTTGCCATTATTCTCATACTTGTTTCCACTTCAGTATTTATTCTAATCCAAGAGAGAGATCGCATAGCCATGGGCGGGTCTTAATTTTGCTAGTAAGCAATAAAACAGCTTCTGAACTCCACCTTCCTGGAGAAACCAAATTGATCCTTGGAGAGACTAAATTGGATACCCTTAAGATAATTTCTTCCACAAGTATTTCACAATATACATACTGGACCATCTTGATGCTAAAACAATGAAATAGAAGTAACAATAAATTCACCAAACCACTGTCATGGTGTTGATATTCGAAAGCAAGCATTACTAATACAATTTGTTGCAACATACATACACCCAGTTAAACTTAAAACCAACACTTGACAAGCAGTATAATATTAAAAAACGAATTTCAATGGAATCAAGAGCCTACCAAAAACAAGTTAAGGAAAACACTAAGGCAATAACTATACAAACAGGCAGATATTGAGAATTGATTAAAGAACCCAAATTAAAAAGGCAAGATACAAGAAATGAAAGAGAAAAACAGAACCTTGTCCTGCCTTCTAAGAACCTGCCAAGTTCCAAGGCCAAAAGTGATAGCTCCAGGTAAAAAGAGTAACCATTTTGACAATCTTGAACCACTCTCTTTTTCTGAAAATAAAAGGAACCATTTGGAACTCCCATAACTAATTCTTGAATTTCTTGATCAACCCAGAAAGAGAGGAAGAAAGTAGAAAACCACAAAATACATCTACAATGCGCATACCTGGAGGCTGTGTAGAGATGGTGGCAGCAGCGGAGCTACAAAAGGGAGATGATGAATATGAAGACGGGATCCGATATTTCGGAAGGGAGTCGAGGGACCCGCCACTTCTAAGCTGAAGAGTGTTACGGAAATTCCTTGCTAGAGTTCTGGACATGGAAGCCATATCGAGGAGTCCTGCATTTGATTGATTGTTGCTTTCGACAAATCCGTGTCTCTAGCAGCGAGGGCTTACGGGGTTTTGACCGGAAGGAGAGATCGAAGTGGACTCCTACCTCTGAGGCCTAAAAGGCCCACTGGGCCTCATATTGAAGCCCAATAAATTCAAAAGAAAAAAAAACTAGGGTTTTACTCGGCACCCCTCATCTCCTATATAAGCAAAGCCCTTCTCCTTCTACCTCACAGTGGCTCTTAAACTTTCTGCTCCGCTGTAGAACATGGCTGGCGACGGTCTCTCTCTGTGCTTAGCAGTGTGATTAAGCAGGTGGTATTATATTTACCGGATCCTTTTGTTTTGTTTAAAGAAAAAGGCAACGCGTCACTGATGTGCTAATTTAGATAGCGCAATCGGTCCTTTTAGTTGCCCATATTTATTTTCTTACAGCGAGTTATCATGCTTGCAGTTGCCGTCTTCATTATACGGTCTTTTGCATTCAGATGCTCGTACATGCCCTTTTCCTTCTTTTTGCCTCCGATGGGTTGTTTTCTGGGGCTGATTTGAGGTTTTTTTGATTTACCCATAAGCGTAAATTCTTTCATCAGTGTAATTTGAATTAGTATATTGTTAATCCACAGAACCCTACTAACTTATTGCGTTTTAACATGTAAATTGAGTTTTTCTTGTTTCAATTTATTTTTTTAATATTTTTGAATTGGTTTTTATTTTGATTTTAAAATTAAAATTATATAAATAGCATTATTTTAATACAAAATATTTTGAAAACATTCATTTTAATTTCCCAAACCTAATTGCCTCTTGTTTCTTTAGTTACTAGAGTGAGGGCTGGTGGTTAGATGCTGAGAGAGAGGGATGCGATTCGGGTAGTTAAAGTTGATTCCTCTCAAAATCTAATTTAAAAGTTGAGGTTAAAGTTGATTCACTCAAAATCTAATTTATAAATTGAGAAAAATATGTTATTTTTTAAAAACATATTTATTTTAGTTTGAAATTTAATTTTTAAAGGTTTGATTAAATTAAAACTAAAAAACTTAAATTTAAATAAAAAATACTTATAATAATTATTACTATTATCATATGGAAGTTACTACAACTAGATATTAAATTAATAATTTTTTCTAACATTATTTCATAAGAAATATATATATATATATATATATAAATTTTATGTGTATAAATTAAAATGAGTGTAATTTTATATTCATTAATATTTTTAAAATTTAAAAATATAAAATTAAAATTCAATATAAATTAATATCATTTAATATTTTATCAATTCTATAAAAAATTACATCATAATAATAAAATTAATAAAATATAATTGTTTGTTACCCATTAAATAATTTATTATTATTTTTTAATATAATATATCTAATCAAAATAATTTCCAAGATAAAAATAATTTGAGGTTGATGGGGAAACGGTTTCCTTTTCATAAACCAAATACCAAACATTGTATGAAATAATACCTCATTTTACGGTGAAAAGCAAGAAAAATCCCTTCCAAATGATAGAACTAAATTTTTTGAAGAAAGGGAGGCAGAACATAACATTCCATTAAGAGAAAGAACATAGTTTTTATTATGGGATCGGCTTAGTGATGAGGATTTGTTTGTGTTGTGTGAGGTAACCTGTCTACTTAAGCTTTGATTCCCAGAAATACCATATCCCAAACCTTGTGAGCAAATAATCCTTCAGATATCAGCATTCTTAGTTTGCAGCAACAAATTAAGCCAATATATACAAACACCACCACCCTTTCTATATCATCATGTATTGACGACGATGAATGATAACCACTTACTGCATCTACAGCTGCAGGAAGGAGAGAAGCAGAAAATGAAAAAAAAAAAAAAAGGCACTGTGAGGTTGAATTGTGCCAATATCTTGATTTAGTTAGCAAGTGATTCTAATTCTGAAATCAACCAATATTTATAGGGTTTTTGCATAATTATTGGTAACAAATTGTAATATACAAGAGAGAGATTGGTGGTTACTTTGAGGGGAAGCAGATGGAGATTTTTCCAAGAACATAAGCCGATCGTCTATAGCTTTATATGCCGGCCATTACTGGCATTTCTTGTTAAGATCATAAAAGAAAAAAGGCATTAGGTGGTAGTGGTGTTACGCATATATTGTCATTAATTTTAAAGAGAGGTAATATATATATCCTTGTCAATTAATCTTAGCGAGTTTCTTCTGTGTTCGATAAAGAGGTACTCCCATTTTGATGTTGGTTTCTCTTTTTCTTATGATTTTATGTCGTATTTTGGAGTTTATTCCCTGTGGAATTGGGCAATTAACTACTCTACAGAAACTGTGTCATGTTTTGTGGTTGAAAAAACTAGTTTTTGTGTTTCTTTGGTTTTTTTTACCCTAGATTTGTAGTCTTGGTCATATTTTATAATTCACTTTTAAAATTCTCCCCACTACTTTATATAAAAGGGTTGCATTACATAAGATTCCATGTATATAGAGAAAATAAGCAGTTGAATTAGGTTAATGAATATAGTATATTGTTGGATTTTATACCTTGAGGATTTTCAAGTTATTCATTATGTTTGTGTGTCTCTTTGTTTTAGGGTTTGATTACACATACATTTTGATATATTATTTATGTCTTTAGTTTTCATGTTTTGTTTATCTTCGTTCTCAAAAAAATTTCTTTTTTTTTTATTTAAAAGAATTATTCTTGATTTTTTGTCATTTTCTTCTAGATATTAAATTTCTTTCCAATCATTTCACATTTCTCATAACTATTAAGTGCTCTTATTGTTGTTTTTTTACTTATTTTTTTTCTTGTTTGATATATATTGATAAATTTATGAAAATCTCAAACTAAATTGAGCTTTTTGTGGACTGTGATTTTAGGTTAATGGAGTGATTGAGCTTGTCACTATTTTAGTGGGCTGACAAGGTGACTATCTCAAGTTTTTTTGTAAAACAAGTCTCTTATTAGAATAAGAGACCCTTCAATACTTAAATTAAAAAAATATATATAAGCAAAACAATATGCAAGATAGTAAAGAATGTAGGAGAGTGTATATATATGAAAGTTTTATGTTTTGTCTAAACTTTTTCGATTATTGAATGGTTATTTATAGTTTTAAGAATTGTTGTATGGTTGCTTATAGTTGCTAAAATTATTTTATAGGTGCTAGTTGTTCTTGATATTATATGAAATTATATGGTTTGGCCTGAATTGTCTTAGCTTGACTTGAACATTTTACTAGGTAACCAGATATATTTATAGACCTTGGTCACACTTACCTTGTAGAGCATGATGTTATATGTAACTTATGGTATGTAGAGTTGCAGCTTTCCATGAGTTGAGTAGTGATAAAGAGCTTTGTAATGAGTGGAGAATACTATCGGTAAAGAGATTGGTGCTTATCTTATGAAGAGTAGTATTGTAAATACTTTATGGTAAGTAAAGATGCCTCATGGTGAGTAATGTATTAGGTACCTAGCTTATCGTGATATTGGTGGAAAAGTTGGTGGTTGGCGGTTGATTGGTGGTTATTGGTAAGAAAAGTTGTGCATGTTCTCCAAAGAAAATTTTGACATGCTCCAATATAGTGCAACAGTGGCATCTCAGTCATAAAAAAATATTAAGGTGTATAGGTATTGTCGTATTGATGACTGAGATGGAGCTGTATTGAATGTTTTTAAACATCATTACCAACAGTTAAGAATTTTTTATGGTATTAGGGTGAGGCCCATATAATTTTCTAGGGTCAAATAAGGTGAAAAAGGATGAGGAAGCCCGTCTCTAAACATGAAGGCAACACGTTTTAAGTATAGTCCTAATAACATGAAAACTATATCATTTGAGCTTGGTCCAAATAACATAAGGGTCATGGGCAGAGCTGAGAATTTTTTTTTTGCCTTAGGCTACGAAGAAAATATACATAAAGTTTTTTTCAAGATCAATCATTAACTCGTATATATAAATTTATCAAGTTAAAATATGAAAAAATTAAAATTTAAAGTACATAAATTGAAGAAAAAATAAAAATAAACTATACTATTAAAGTTGCACCCTTCGATGTTTTGTGCAATAAAATTTATCTATGATCAAATCTAAATCGATATCTTTAGCAAACTCTTATTTAATATAAATCATTATAGAATCTACTAAGAACTCTTTTTCTATTTTATTATGAAACACAATTTTAATATGTTTTATAGCTGAAAATGATCGCTCTGTGGTGGCAATGAAAACAAGTAAAGTCAAAACAAGACGATTCAACATGTTAATAAAATGATAGTGCTGAGACTTATTTGTTTCAACTAATGCTTGACATAAATAAATGGTAGACATTTTCTAAAAGCTTATATGATAAATTATATCAATATGATAATACTCTCGTTGAAATCTCAAATAATACATCTCTTATTTATTGAAATCTTCAGGATAATTTTTTTTAACAAGCTTACAAATAACATCAACTTTAAATGATTTAAAGTTGTTCTTAGGTTCTAAAGCAGAGTTAAGTATACGGAGTTTCATTATCTCATCACTGAATCTGTAATTTAATTCTTTCAATTAAAAATCCATTATTGAGTTAAATATATTATAATGATAGTGTTGGTAAACTGTCACCGATCTTTGTTGTTGGCATGAATGACATGTAGCTTTTTTTATACGAAGCATTCATTTATGGTATGTCAATCTCATTTTATGTGCACATAAATTGCACATGTGCAATAAGAAGATCAAATCCAACATCTCTCAAAGTTCAAAGCAATGTTTTAGTAGTTGATACAAGATCCATTGCATTTAAGATATTAAGAGATTTTTGCTGCAAAACTCAACAAAGTAAATTAGTAATCCTTATTATTTTACGCATCAAATATAAGATGAATATAAAATCAAAAGATTTCATCACAACCAAATAACCATCAGCTTCTCAACGTATAGAGTTAGAAGATTCTTCTTGAACCATACTTTTAAGCACAATAATAGTTGTACTATACATATCTATTAAACTACAAATAGAATCAAAATGAGATCTCTACCGATCAGTTCCACTTCAATGTAAATTACCAATTTGATTA